GAGGACACATCTGATCAGTAACAACAGCAGATGTGTTTTGCACAGAGGTGCCACGAGCATCTGTGTTCATTCCAGGCTGAAGGCATCACCTGGGCCGAGGTTACCGCAGAGCTTTCTAGCCCGGTGAGTCACTCCCCATCAGCTTGGATCACAACCCTGGGGGCAAGATCTTGCTAAATGCCTGACAGGGCCCACTGCTTGTGGATTATGGAAATAGAAGTGATAAAAAAAGAGGCAATCCGTGAGTCAGTGTGCTCAGTACAGGCTTGCCTTTTCCAGGCAGAAGGAGCCTTCACCACTTTGCAGAGTAGGTCTGGTGGGGTTTGTGCAGGAACTGCTGGCAAAATTCTATTTAAAAGCCATGTGTGCCTAAGCAGTGCTTCAAAAGAAAAAGCCATTCGCATTTGAAGCAGCAATCTATTTCACTGACTTAGACATGAGCAGGTTTGGATAGGTTTTATTTTTCTTTTTGGTGTAAAGCAAGAAAAATGTTTCCTCCAGAACAGTTTGTCAGGAACACAACAGAATAACCTCCTAGTCCATCTCGTCCACTTTAACTGTCAGATTGTATTGTCCCCATCATTCAGCCACCAAAGGTGCACAGCAAAACTTGGCAGCTTCGCTGTTCCTCTTCATGTCTCAGAGAGTTTAGGGAAACCCTCCAAAAGCTATGAATTTCTGATTCCCTTGGGTTTGAAATCTGGGAGGACAAGAAGGAAAACTCAAAGAGCACTGAGGAAATGCTGAATAGATTGTTGAAGTAAAGAGAATTATTGAAGAACAGTTATCACTGTGAGGATAAGGACTAAATATTTTATCTGGCCAGCACCTGGGTTCTGCTGTAAAATTGGGCATACAGGAAAGAGTCGATCATCTGATCTTCTTTAACACCAACCAAACCAAAGAAGATCCATTTTTTTTAACAAGATGTTGGTCCTGTCAGGATTCCCTTCTGCTGTCTGAAACCAATGGATGATTTCTCCTCGCCAGATTACAAACTGGATAATTCTGTCTTGTACTTTCTTAGTTCCAGCCCTGTGCCAGGTGTTCTGCTGGAGTGTTTTCTCTATGTATTAAACTGCTATTCAGTGGTAATCCCATATTTTGTTCTGCTTTGGGCTACATTCAGTGTTCCTTAGGTTTTGCTGATTCCTTTTCACTTCCCAAAGCAGGGTGATACTGAAGTGTCAATGTACAATCCTTGATGGTTTTTCTGACCAAGGGATTCAGGATTGAATGTTGGGGCCAGTGATTTATATCAGGCCGGAGATGCCACATCAGGGCATTTGCAGGCACAGGGACACTGACTTCTCCAGAGCACAGAATTCCTCAGGACAACAGACTGAGAAGAGTGAAAACACACACACAGTGATTCCAACCCCGCAAAATAATTCCCCAAGCGGTTGTAATTGCCCTCTTGGGGTGCTGCTTACTAAGGGAGAGCCGGCAAGGGTGTGGCTGCCGCTTAATTGCATGCTCGAACAAGGGATTAGAGAGTGAGCAGCAGTGTCATGTAAGGGGTGAAATGAAAGTGGGAGAAAGCAGGACTGTTAGGTAAACCATCTCAGCTCTGTCAAAGTCAACATTTCCTGTCTGTATTGCAGCTGAGGGGAAAATAATCACCCAGGCCCCATGAAGTGCAGCCTGGTTGCAGGTGTAGGTGTTGGAATGGGCTTTCTGCCATTCCAGGCTTTTGGCATCCCCCCAGCAGCAGGGGTGACTGAGTAACCTGTGGGTTTTAGATGTGTTGTTGCCACCTCCCACACCCTCTATCAAAAAAAGCCCCACCTAACTAATTACAGCAGTGATTAGAGGATGAGTCCCATGCTGGGTGATGGAAACTGATTATGATCCATGTCTCTAGAGATTGATCTGTTTTCCTCCAGGCAAAATTTAACCTTCACTCTTTAGTCAGACCCGCTGAGCAGGAGTGAAATTGTGGGTGTCCAGCATGTGGCATTTGGCTAAAGGTGAAACCAGATTGATCTGATTTGCTTTTTAAATATCAGGATCTCACTTTTCTGTCCTCAGGTTCTAAAGAGAATTTCAGAATTTTGAATTAGCAACTATGCAATTCTTCCAATCAAACTGCTTCATAGCAATCCCTCTAGTTGATCTCCTTTTAGATGAAGTAGCTTTATATTTTCTTAGCCATAAACGTTTTAAATCCTTATATTTAGAAGTAGGGCTTTAAGAAGAAATGAAGATGCTCCATCTTTAGGGAAGCAGTTGGTTATCGTGCATATATATATATATATATATATATATATATATATATATATATGTATATATAATTAAAACTGGTAGACTTCTTAAACACTGGGAAGAGAATTCAGCACACAGTGAGTAGCACTTGTTCCAAAAGCAGTGGAAAAGCTGAGGGCATCAGAGGAACTCCTGGGAAATGGAGAGTGCTGTGAGTGAGCAGCTAGTATTGAACAAAGTTGGTCTGTAGAGATCCTTCCTTACAGGTTTTTCAGCTGTCACCTTACACAAAAGGCTGAGCAGGCCATCAGCTCTGTTCTCCACGCTGAGCTACAGTCTTGACTCATCATACAGATTCTAATGCAGCTTTTACAAGTGAAAGTAAATTATCTGAGTATGATGGTCCCGACAGCCCTTGGATACAGCAGAAACAAAGCAGATGAGGCTGATTTGGGTGCTTTGGCACCTTTTGTTTCAGCAGCATGAGTTGAGCTGTGGTGTCACCTGGCCCTTCTGCTCCTCACCCCTTCTCCTGCAGTTGTGGGTTAGGTCTGATCACCCGAGATCTCACTCAGAATCCAGCAAGTTCTTGCAGAGCAGTTAAATCCTGCAGTTGTTTTCTTCTTTCCCTAAGGTGACATCAACAAACAGATTTCCTCCTCTGCTCTGCTGTGTGGCCTCTTGGTGTGATGTGTAATTAGGGATGATAGCTCCCAAGATTTGCTTTAATCATGATGGAATCCCAGACTGGTCTCGGCTGGAAGGAGCCTTTAGGATCACTTTCTTCCAACCCCCTGTCATGGGCATGGACACTCCACTATCCCAGGTTGCTCCAAAACCTGGCCTTGGACAATTCCAGGGATGGGGCAAGCCACAGCTGCTCTGGGCACCCTCAGGGAGGAATTTCTCCTCAGTGTCCAATCTAAATCTACCCTCCTTCAGTTTAAAGCCACCCCCCACTATCACCAAGCGTCCTTCTAAAGTCTAAAGTCCCTCTCTGTGTTTCTCGAGGAAGAAAGGCATCACTTCCAGGGCTTCTGAAGAAATGCCAGGTCATAAACATGTTTGGAATTACCAAAGGCATTCAGAAGACACTTTGAATTGCAGTTCTCTTATATCAGTGGTAAAATAATCTCATTCTCCATAAACCTAGGAGTCCTGAATGAGCAGGAGCTCTGTTCTTCCCTAGTCCCATTGTGTCAGGTCTGGAAAACAGTTCTACAGCAGTGTGTTACCATGGCTTTAAGGCCACTGAGGGGCAGAGGTGGAAGCCTGCTCCACTTCCATGCTTTCCCTGCCTCAGAACACTGTGTGTCACTGATGTCCCTCCATCCCTCCTGTGATGGTGACAGGATTCTGCTGCTGTGTCAGAGCTCCTGAGACCTCTGTGACTGCACTCAAAGCACCCTGAGCCTTCCTTGCCTCCCCCTGCTCCAGAACAAGGAGTTCTTTGGAGGATCAGGACAGCCAGGAGCCTGCCTCCTCCTCGGCCTTTCAGATAAGTGATTATTTACAAAAATACTGTAAATATGTTGTTCTAGAGAGAGCCATACTTAATCACTGGGACATTGCTGCCCCACACCATAAAAACGCATCAGAGGGGAGTGAAAACTGGCAGAGCAGTGATGGTCAGGGGTGATGTCTGTTCCCTCCATGTCACACAGACTGGCACTGTCCCACCAGGAAGCACCTCTTGCCTGTCCTGGGTTAATTCCACTGGCACTGTTTTACCCCAGCTCATTTTCTCTGGGGATTTGCTGCCTTGTGGTGCTGCTTACGTGGAGGAAGCAAAGGTCAGCTCTGCTTTTTGCATTAAAGCAAGAACTGTGCAGGAGGGTGGCTGTGCCCTCTAGGATTTGGAAAGGACCGTGCAACAAAACCTTGATGGTATTTGTTTTGAAACAATTTCTGCAATGGAGAACAGCTGCTCTTCCAAGGGAAACAATGAGAGGATCTGGAGCTTTTGGAGAGTTCAGTGAAACGCCCAGCACAGGCCTGGGGCTCCGCCGGGTATTTCTGGAGGTCAATGTCCCCAACACACAGAAATCTTCAGCACAGGGTTATTTTGGGTCCTTGCTAAAACACAGCCTCAGTGATTTTTTTATTATTTATTTTTTGATTTTAGTCTGTCATGCATGAAAATACTTGCTCTTATGGCAGGTCCCATTACCAGAACACTGGCTTAAGAAAATTATCAAATTTGGATTATAAGGCACATGAACTTTTTAAACTTATATTAGTATATTGATATTTGAAATCCCATCACTCTGATATAGTTCTGAAGTAATGAGCTATAAAATTCCATTTTAACACAAAAATACACACTTTGAGATTCTATTCTTGTGCAAACAAATGTTCCAAAATAATTCAGAATGGATTATTTTTGCAATGAAAGTAACAGTGGGCAATTTTAAAATATGCACTAAAGTTCTTACTTATAAATTGATCTGGCAACAATGAAGAATTAGTTTTTCTACCAGGACTTCACTAAGATGATTAATTATATATGATTAATACCTTTATGGATAATTAGTAACACTGGAAGCAAGTTTTGAAAGTTCTGTTTCATTCTCTTGATACTTGGACAAAAAAATTTCAATTGAAAATAAACCTACAATAAACTGGCAGGGAAATTTTCGTGTAGAGGAGAGCAATACGTGTGAAAACTGTGTGGAAAATGTTTTCTTTTTGCTGAAACCTTGTTCAACAGCCCAGAGTTGTAGAGGTGAACGAGACTAAAACAAACACTCATTCTAAAGAGCTCTGCCAGTAAATAACTTACAAAACACCAAAGATTTCCAAAAGAGTTTAATAAATAATGAGGTTCTTTCTGTACTGTATAAACTATAAATATACCATGCAGTCCTTTATAACTTAAAATAATTTACAGGCTGAGGTAGGGGGGTCGGAGGGCGTGGGCTCAGGGCCTGGCCGCCTTCCTGCTGAGCACGCAGACGCAGGCGGTGTCGATGCGGATGAACCTCCAGGCCGCCTGCTTGCCCTCCATGGTCAGGGCCTTGACGAAGGTGTGGGTGGTGGTGCAGTACGAGTTCCAGTGCTTGGCGTCGATGCCGCGGCACCCGCCCGACACCGGCTTGGGGTCCCTGCACTTGGTCTCAAAAAAGTACTGCTTAAAGACGTTGTTGTTGATGTTGACCTCGCCCAGCACTGTCACCTCCTTGCCCTTGATGTCGGTGGCCGTGGTTTTGTCCCCGACCCACATGCTGACGCTGTCGCACACCGAGAACTCCCCGCGGTGCAGCACGGGGTGCGTGCTCCTCCTGCTCCTGGCAGTCCTGTTGAGAGCCCCCGTGCTGCTGAGAAATCCCAAATTCCGGCCCTGCCCGGCCACCGGCGGGGGCTCCGTGCTGAACAGCACGCGGGGAGACCGGAAACGCCGCTTCCGAAAGACTTTGGGGTCCACGGTGATGTTTAGAGCTTCTCTCCTGCCGAGGCTCCACGTGGCGTGGCCGTGGGATGTCTGCGGAGCCTCCTGGGCAATGTGGGGTCGGTCGCTCCAGGTACTGAGCAGGGAGTGTTCTGCAGGAAACTCCAGTGGAGCATTGTCCTCTGACTTGGGAGCTGCCTGTGTGCCGATCAAAAAAGCTGCAGTCAGAGTGTAGAACAGCATGGGCATTACGTTCTGACCTAGAACGAGAGAGAAGGGCACTGTTACTGCAGTCAGAGTGTAGAACAGCAGGGGCATTACGTTCTGACCTAGAACGAGAGAGAAGGGCACTGTTACTGCAGTCAGAGTGTAGAACAGCAGGGGCATTACATTCTGACCTAGAACGAGAGAGAAGGG